AGGTCCCCGCTATTTAGTGGTATCTGGGGTTTTTTATATCCTTTATCCCTGAAGAAATCATATTGAGAGATTTAGTATCACCTCACACAAGGTTTTTCTTCCAGCGTGTCTTTTTATGTCAGTGCTAAACCTCCACAGTACATCAAACTGCAGTCTTTATTACAATACCAATGTGCAAAATATCACATTTGTAAAGGGCTGTTTGTTTATACCTGGTAGGAATGTGTTTATCAAACATTATGCATTCACTCTGAGTGCTATTACAGTACTATGGTGACCTTTTAGATTGGCTATGTTTGCTCTTGATGCCTTAGGGCCATGAAGTTGATGTCATTTTCTTAGTAGCTGGGACGATAGAGCTCACAAATAGTTTTGGGGAAATAGTGATGATGAAAGAGAAAGGTTGAGCAAAGAAACCTGTAGAGTGGAATAGAATACAATAGAATACCCATTTATTGTCCCAAAATTGGGAAATTATGGTGTTTAGAAAGATTGTAGAAAAAATTGTCACACAAATGTGGACACATGTATAAGAATAACGTAATAGTGAAGAGTTAAAAAATAAACAATAAAATACTGTACTGTAAAGTGTTATAACAATATAAAAAACTATGCACCTGGAGAATAAATATCCAATATGCAGCTGTGGACATTTTTACAGTAATGGATATTTGAAAATAGCAGCAACATATGAGATGTGCAAAATGACAGCAGCATGTTATTAAACTGACTAAGGTAGAAACTGCAAAATCAGCATGAATGTAACGATTTATTGAGCTTGTTGGAAACAGTGGTGGCTATAGAGCTGTTGGAAATATAAATTAACATTAGCATCATATTATTAAGCAAAAGCATCGCAGCCGCATCTTTCTAGATGAGGTGCTACTCTTATCAGTATCATTTTCATGAAATTCAATTAACTCTTCTATTTAGCTTTTTTTTTTTTACTTTTTTTTTATTACACTGTCACAAATACAGAGCAACAAAATTAACTCTCTGCAATTAACCCATCCCCTTGAGGAGCAGTGGGCTGCCATTGTGCAGCACCTGGGTACAAGTGTTGGGTTAAGGTCTTGCTCAGGGACCCAGATAGTAAGTCCGTGGGAGTGGGGCTTGAACTCAGAACCTCTGAATTCCAAGCACAATTCCCTAACCACTCTCCTCAAAAAGGGGTGTATATTTAGCCGGCAACTTAATATGTTTATCAAAGTTGATTGTTTTATGATTTAAAGACTTCCTACTGAAGGCAGGCACTGTGAAAACTCAATCAAATCTGACTAAAAGTCTAACAGTCTCTCTTGTAGTAAAATAGTATTGCAGTCCATTGGTTAGGGAAACAAGTTTATGTTTTTCTCTGCTCAGAGTATAAGCCCATAAGTATATAGTATAAGAGCATAAGTATAACAATAATATTACTTATTATCATTACTATTATTATTGCAGAGGGCTGTACATTCAGATGGGACATGGTGTCTGCGGAGAGTGCCGTGGATTCACATAGAATTCCTATGCAAACCATGCAAGGAAGGGAAGCAGCCAGCGGTGAATCCCACGCGGTGAGGGCGTATATTGCTCTGCTCTCACATCATGCCACTAGATATAAATGATGTTGTCAAACAGCAGAACCACATGGAGTGATAGTCGTAGAATAATTGTTCATCATCCTCCCTTACCTCCAGCACAGACCCAGGTTTTTTTTTTTCAGATCAGTAGGGTGTCAGCTTCATGCATCTGAAGCTCCTCCAATTTGATGATGCATTCCAGGATGTAAACACTGTGCATCTGAATTAGAGAACGGTAAACTCCCCATGGGGGAGATGACCGAGGACACGGTATTCGGTCTGAACGCACCATTACACAGCACTTTTGAAGCTGTAAAATACCTCTTATTGCTGCTGTCTGATACAAGTTTTCTAGAGAAGTGACCCTGTTCAGCACACAAGTGAGCTGTGTTGGAATGGCAACATTTATATTTGTTGTAGTGGAGGCATGCTATTGTTAAGTGGTTTTAGTAGTTTGGTCTCAATATTGGGCTGTCAGATTTATGGTATGCCAGAATAAGAGTTGGACCCCAAAGCTTCCCTATCCCAACTCAAATGCTTAATCTTACACCTACACCATGTACCCTCTTTCTTCTTTTTGTATCTGTGTTCTCAACCAAATTATTTACAGCTGACAGCACAGTTAGGACCATTTTCTTTGATTTCTCCAGTGCATCTAACATGATTCAGTCTGATTTAGTTTGTCAAAAACTGCAGAAAACTCAAGTGAAGGTCTTAATAATCACCTACATCAAAGATTACCTTAAAGTAATCAGATTGTCAAGTTTCTAGACAGTTAGTAAGCAGGACAAGAGCGCCACAGAGGACAGTACCCTAAACCTCTGACTTCATCTACAAGACACAGCTCGGTCATATGCAGAAATGGATGACTCGGATGACTCTGCAGTAATTCAATGTATCATATAGGACAAAAGGTTGAGTACAGGGATCTAGTGAACCGCTTTGTGGCATGGTATGGAACCGATTACATCTGATCCTGAATGTCAACAAAACAAGGGAAATGATTGTAGATTTAAGAAAAAAATCAAATGCTATTAGCAATCATCACAAGAGGAGGAAGTGAAGGTGAATAGAAATACCTCAGTGTTCACTTGGACAACATAATTGACCTTAGAAGCAACTGTGAGGTCAATCAAAATGCTTAAGGTCTTAAGTCTGTTGTGAAGAGAGTAATCTATTTTGCCATCATCTGCTGGACTAATATATTAAAGCAAATGACTGAAAGAAGCTCAACAAGATGATCAAGAAGGTTGTCACTGTGCTGGGAACTCATGTAAAATCTAGACTTAAATTCACAAATAAGAATTCTTCATAAAGTGGAACCATATGGACAACTGTGAGCATCCTCTTCAGAAGAAACAACTCTAGTGTGATCATTCAACGGCTTCATAAGATTCAATGTTAGACAGACTACAGGAGATCATTCCTGCTTACAGGTATAAGCATATACAACAAGTTATTGAAAATAAAAACCAAAACATAACTTACTAAAACAGTGAATCTCCCTTTGGGATCAATGAAGTATCATAGTTTTATACAGTACAGGTACACTTACTGTTGGCTAAATTTAAAATAGGATGATCACAAGCATGAACCATGAATCATCAACCACAGATACATGCTTATATCCTTTACAATTAGTATGTTTGTGGCATGCAGGAGATACAGCACATATTTCATCTTCTGTGTCTTTTTTTTTTGCCTCAGCAGAGATGAGTTCACCTCATGCGGGGAATAAATGAAAGCTAAATGATCTTAAGGCTTCAAGTTGAAAGATACCATTAAAGCTTTCTGGAAAGACAACACAGGAGTGTGCCAAGTTCTCACTTGGCAGAGTAAAGCAACAGATGTCATTACGGCTGCACCAGTGGACGGCATCCCCACATTAGTGTGCTGAGCGGGTGCGGCTTAGTATCTAATGATGTAGATGAAAACACCCAGGAGTGCTCCAAAGGAGCCTGTTAAGAGAGTTTTTGCAAGTTATCCCTCTGCCTGGGCTCAATATGATTTCTGTTTGTATCTGCCCAGTTAATCCTCTTATTTCTGAGTTGGGTTTTTTTCATATTCTGGATGTTTTACTTCTTAAGTCTCCCCTGACACGAAGAGTTTATTATTCCAGTTTTCTATACCAAGAAAAAACTTGGAGCAACCTGCCACCAAAAGCATTGATTTTTTTTTTATTAAACATTTAACCTTTATTCAAAATTGGAAAAGAAGGCAACAAAAAATAACCATTTAATTTAAAGTTAGTCTAACAGTAACAAGAGAGATAACAATGTTTAACAGTGC